TCATTTTCAACGAATCCCTTTACATTTACGTTGTAACACTAGATCAAATATGTTGTGAGGGATAGTTTTTTTAAGTCATTGGAAGGATTTAGCACTGTTTCACAGAATTCAACTAAAATAGGATATCTTATACATATATTATAAAACATTTAGACTTAGACCAATTTTATTTATTTTGCATACACAAGTGTAAAAAAAAAAAAAAGAAATTTCGTTTGGAACAGCTCTCTGAATTTCATATCTTTTATAAGTGCAGCCTTGAAAAAAAATAGTAAAAATGACTGTAAACTTACAGTTCTAACATTTTTATATATATATATAATGATAAAATATAATTAAAATGAATAAAATAAAATGTACTATTTATTTATTTCTTGTGTCTAAACCAAGATTTATTTGGATCAATAATCAGCTAAGTGTAACAAACTTTACATCAAGATAAGAAACGAGGTCTTTAAAGCTTTTAATGTGAAATAATAAAGATCAATTAACTTTTAGTAAGCTTTTCAGGGCCTGGATTCATTTAGGAAAATCATAAAGTAAACAAAGATTGCAATAAATTTAATTATTCTATTAGATTAGAAGGTTAACCATAACTTCTAATTAGAAATAAATTAATAAACGAATTTCAGTGTAAACAAATAACACCATGGTAAATCATGGGAAAAAGAAAGGCAGTGGAAAAACGATAAACATCCTGTTTTATACATTACTGCACGTGAAACTGTGTCGTCAGAGCTGCTTCCAACAGTCGCTTCAACCATATTAAGGCATTTCCTGTTTCTTAAGTCTTCCGCTTATGTTGTTGTTATTAAAAGATAATCGAATGCTTTTTAAACCGAATATTAAGTAAATTTGTTTAAAGCGCCTTCAGAGGGAGAATAGGGAGCCGCTCACCTGAAGCTTTGAGCGGGAACAGGAGGCTCCAAAAGAGAACAGGAAAGGTCTCTGTTACAATAATAACATATTAATCCACAGGTTGGAAATAAAAACACAACCACAAACCTTCAAAAAACCGATCAATGCTCTTTGACGCCCCACGGAGCGATAGTCTTCCTCAAACTACCCTTGATTTAAAAAAAAAAAAAAAAAAAGCACTCAGAGATAATTACAGCTTACAGTTTTTTTTTTTTTCTTCCTTCCTGAAAACAAACAACTCAGCAGTGATGGCCGGCCGGATGTCTGCTTCCTCTTTGACTCACACTGCTTGCAGATCGTCAAAGGACTTTACTAACCCGAACTGAGCAGACGACGACAGCTTACCTGTTACCAACTGCCACACCTGTACAGTGACGTCACTTGCGGCTGTCCAAAACCAGAGGCGTAGCCATAAAATTTTAAAAAGGGTGGCAAGGCAATAACCAAGGATTTGCTAACAAAAATATATATATATATATATATATATATATATATATATATATATATATATATATGTCTATGAATATTTTTTTTCCTTCTTGCTTTGATTCTGTTTTATTTTCCTATATTTTAATTATATTTAATCATGTAAAGCACTTTGCATGGTCTTTGTACTGAATTGTGCTGTACAAATAAATTTGCCTTGCCCTTGCCTTGCCTATATTTAAACCAGGGTCGGAGATAGATGGGGGCCAGGGCCACCCTTAGCCAATCATTGACCACCCCTATGGCCACCCTATAATTTTTTCTCTCAAGTAGAATATTCAAAACATTTTAATTTCATATATATTAACAATTACTTGACAACAAAAACACTGTCGTTAATTATACACATCAATATACCAACATTAGAGATATTAGTACAGAATTGATGCTCTTTCAGAACTACATTTTGTGTTATATGCCGTAAAGAGAAAATCATGCGTCTATGCAAGTCATATAACAGTCTTCAGTGAAATCATAGATAATGTAAATAACAATTCTAATAAAAAACTATTAAATTATCAATTTATGTAGATATTAGTACTTCTAAATATCAATTTAATGTAGAATGATATTGATAAAAGTAGGTGAGTAATGACGATGGAAAAGATGTTTGCTCCAAAACTCATACTTGAAAGAATTTTACCCTATATAGCTTTTATCTAGACAGATGTTTAAATACATGCATCTATTTGTTAGCAAAGGCTGTAGGAAACTATAGTTTGTCTTTATTTAGAGATGTCCACATTGTGCTTGTTCCTGTTGGAACACCGTAGATTGACCCTGATGTTCTGGTGCCTATCCACTTTTGGCCATCCCCTCAGTGTACATTGGTTAGTGTCTGGCCATCCTTATAAAAATATTCTGGTTACGCCTCTGATTTAAACATCCATGCTGTCTAAATTAAAGGTGTATTGGATAAAATTCTTTCAGTTTTGAGTTCTGACGTGAACATCTTATTCATTGTCATTACTAACCTACTTTTATTAATAATCATTCAGCATAAAATTTCTATTTACATTTACAAATATCTACATTAAATGGATTAGTTATTAATAAAGTAGTTATTTATATCTGATTTCAGTGAAGATTCCTAGATGACTTGCAGAGACATAGTTTCCTCTTTACCCCATATAAGACAAAATCTAGTTCTGAAAAGAGCATGAATTCTGTATTTATCTTTAATGTTAGTATATTGGTGTGCATAATTAACCACATGGTTTTTGTTGTTGGGTAATTGTTTACAGAAATGAAATTTAAACGTTAAATAAGTTAGAACATTAGTGCTGTCACCATCGGTATTATGGAGATAAAATGGTCGGAGCGGCCACAGATTGGGTAAGAGTGGCCATGGCCACCCCTGGCCACACATCTAGTTCAGCCCCTGAACAAAACATGGATGTGAATACAAGTAGCCTTTGTGCGCAGGTAGAGACCGTGCCGTGTTTTGAAACTTTCATACATTTTATGTTTACAGACCCTCATGCAGACTTAAATACAGATAATTAAAAATGATAACTAATTTTATTAAATGTGCAGCAACTACCAAAATTGACCACATGGGGGCACTGAAGAGCAAAGGGAAAATGGCTGCTTAGGCTTTTATGTATTCTTTCTGAATGACTTTTTAAAGCTTAATATATATATTTTAAACACTAGGTTTTTTTACAAGGTGTTTTTGATAAATTAGGGATAGAAAATTGCTTATAGAAAACTGAAGAAAAATCAAAGGCAAAATGGTGAACATTTAATAATTTAACTTTACAGATGATATTTTGAGTTAGAAAAGATAAGGAAAATAATTTAAATATCTATTCTGCGCATGTTTTAATATTTGTTTTTATATTTGTTGTTTATTTGTTTTCCCATTGAAAAGGTTGAAGGGGAAAAACAGCTCTGAGAGGACTTAGACAGCTTTTATTGTCATTTTGTATAGAGTTTATACAAAACTAAATTTTGTCTTGTGCAGCTTTTAATGGTAAATGAGCAGCAGCTTAGCAGATAAATGAAAATTTCTATTCCATACAGTGCAGCAGTGTTAAAATGTAAACAGTGTGGGAGGAAAAAACATGGTGCAAAAAACAGTGATATGGAAGATCAGAGCATTGATAATATATGTTGCAAGTATGCAAATATTTTTGGTTTGGCGTTATCAGTGTGATGCAGAGTTTGTGACTTGATTTAGAGTTTTTTCAACAGTTCCGCTCTCTGATGGCAGTGGGGAAGAAACTATTGCAGAATCTGCTGGTCCTGCATCCAATGCTGCAAAGCCTCTTCCTAGACGGCAGCAGGGAGAAAAGTCCATGGTGGGTGTGAGGGTTCATTGATGATGTTACGGAGGAGATGCAAGGCTGGAATGAAATGTCTTTATTGGAGGGAAGAGAAGCTTCGATGATCTTCTCTGCTGTTCTTACTACTCTTCTCACCTTCTTCCAGTTTGAGGCGCTGCAGCCTCCACACCACACAGTGAGCTGGTCAGAACACTTTCTATGAGGAAGTGTTAGTATTTGAAAACGCAAAGAGAGCTTATATTTTTCAGAAAGAATGAACAATTTAAAAAAACAGTTGGTGTTAACGTTTGGATATTACAGGAGGGTCTCGTTAAATTCTACCATGTCATTGTCTGCAGTCACTGGCTGTAAAATTATGTACCTAGAAAAGAATATTCGGGTCACTGCAAGAGTGTTTAGTTTTGTTGTCATATTTTAAGCCTTTTTTTAAACTAGGCAAAATAACAAGAGTCAATGTTTCCATGGGGAGCATTCTTCTCTGGGGACATTTCTATCAAACCACAACATTGAAGAATCCACCTGGTTGCCATTAAAAAGCCCAATCTATGTGAGAGATAAAAAAAACTGCAATAGTCATGGTTTAAAGCATATTGTCCCGACAGCCAGGAATTTTATATCCACAGATGAAACAATATAATGGTCCATCAATTCCTTATTTGGCTTTTTCAGTCATTTATCAAAACTATATCAAACCATAAAGACAACACTTGAGGTCATCCTCCAGTTTATATTTTAATGCATAGCCTATTCTATATATCTTTAGACAGTGACCTTCCCCTGGGATTATTGCTGTCTTGTTCGAAACAACATGGAATAAAAATGGATCAGTTGAGCGATACAAATATGGAGGACATTCCATGACTTTAAAATGATACAATTGTGTTTAGGAACAAATAAATTAGCAGGCATAGCTATTCCACCCCATCATTACTTGTAGAGCCGTAAGAGACTTAGGTAGGCTTCAGTGAGCTCATCACATACCGACAGTGGGATTGTTGATTCAGTCCTGAAGACAAAACTTCCCCATAAGCAGAGATGGCAAAAGTACTCACTTTCCGTACTTGAGTAAAAGTACAGATACTTGTGTTAAAAAATACTCTGGTAAAAGTGGAAGTACTGAT